GTATGTGGTTTCGGTGTCACACGGACCAGAAGATACCGAGTCAGAAGCTGACTGCAGAGAGCAAGCAGCTTGGGAAGTTTTACTGTTGATATACATGTGTTTTCTTAAGTTTAAATTTGTACATATTTCTTCAGTATAAAAATGCTACAAGGAGCCTACTGTTAATCTTTCTTTACCAATGGAAACCTTGACTTTCTCAATGTAAATACAATATAGTACTTCTCAAGTTGCTAATGAGAAGTCTGAGTATATATATGTATATATAGCTGTATGCAGAACTTGAACTTTCAATGAAGGACTTGAGTGCTTTCTTTTGCTTGTGGTGCCATCAACCAAATATGGGGCAACAATACTGCTGCATTTCTTGAATGGTCATTCCAAGATGATATCCTTGTAACCATTTCAGAAAAAGAAAAAAGAAGAAGAAGATGATATCCTTGTAACTTTATGATCCTTATAGGAGAAAAGGTGCGCGCTAAAGCTAGAGAAGCTCTTTTTCGCGATATAGGTGTAATTTAATTAATTCAGTACTTAAGGTCTTCCCTCGTCAAACGAATAAAAAAATCAGGTTGACATGATAAACTGATAAAAGATTATATACACGACACGTATCTTGTATTAATTGATTAAACGTTGGGTGCAAGAAATTAAGTTTTTTTCTTAGTAGAGTTTTGTGAAAAGAAATATTTCTAATAAATGTACCGTAGATCCAGACCAGTCAAAGTTCAATTAAAAAGCAAAATATGTTTTTAATCAAGTAAAGTATAATTTCATTAATAATAGAAAAAACTCTCGTATACAAGAGGTATACTAAAAAGTAGAGAATTTACAAGAAAATATGTTTCTCTATGAAAGAAACCTAATCTTCTATACAAATAGGAATATTATGGCAGAGGCGGATCTAAGATGTTTATAATATGAGTGCACCATCAAAAAAAGGAGAAAAAAAATATTAAATGGGAATTGATCCATATTCCTCTAGGTAGATAAATCAGCATTCAACCAAGAGCACCATTTAGCCTCTTTGGAGCATGAGTACTAACATATAATATTAGATCAATTCTAGAAATTATGTACATAAAATACCTAGTTTGGCAAAAATCATGAGTTCACGTGTCCTATATATTCGGCTATAAAGCCGTCCCCGCTTATTGGAGCACCAAAAAAAAAGTTGGAAATGGGAGGTTATTCTTAAACCTCCATACTACCTTTTTCAATAGAGCTATGGACTAATAAGATTAATTTTGAGAAAAAAGAGCATACAATTAATCAATCCCGGAGCTAAATTGCTTTTGTACATATGGAGCACATTAAGAGCTACCAGGAGAACTTGAACTTTTGGGAATAGAGCTATCAGAAATGAGGCCCCAACGGCCGAGTGTGAGATAGTTGTTGGACTGTTGAATAGAAATGGTTAAGATTAGAATCAACTTATAGCCATAATAGAAAGCTATATTGGTCAGACTCTCCAAATATGTCGTAGGGTGTGTGTCCTTTCCTCCAAAAATAGTGAGTATTTGAAGGATCCGACAAGGTATGATAACATTTTGGAGAGTCTGAGCAACATTGATGAAAAGTAATGTGATCTCATATATAAAACAATTACATTTTCGTTGGTGACAATAGAGAACCACTCCATGCCCTCAGGATCAGCAATTTTCAACACACTTAATAGCCTTGGAACAACAAACAATTCACCAACTTCGATCTGTCTTTCTGTAACAAAACCACAAAAATCACGCACCTTCACTCTGCCGCTGCCTTTTATAATATCAGTGACGCGAATTGCTGGATCAACAGAAATTTCAGGATAGTACGCAGCATTGCCGTTCAACGTCGCACGACTAGCACCAAGTCCAATGTCGCCAATGATTGGCAAGTTTTCGGTATTCAAATCCAATATCTCTCCACCACCATTAGTGTCAGAACGGGAAGGGGCTGTTTCCTCACAGTTTAGTAACATGCCATCTCTGTAGTCCTACCAGTGGCGAAACCAGAAATCAAGAAAATGAGAAAATGTTTAAACTAGAAGCTTTCCTTATGTTACATGATATGGAGGGTGTTTGGATTGACTTTTAAGCTGGTCAAATCAATTTTTAAGTTCTTTTTAGCTTTTTTCAGTATTTGACAAAGTTAAAAAGTGCTTAAAACAAGCCAAAAACAATAATTTAGGCAACCTCAACTTATTACTCTTTGGTTTAAAAGCTATTTCTGCGGAAAAGCCATTTTTTTAAGCCAATCCAAACGGGCTCATCATTTTTGACGAAATGGATTCAATTGAACCTCTTCGTTACCTTTAGCTCCGCCTCTGAGATTTCAAAGCCTGGAACAAGCTTGACGATACTCCTGGCAAGATGCAGACCAACGAGAGTCTTGAGAATACTTTTGTCCGATTTCCATGCTCTGCCAATAAACTCAGGGGAAAAACAAGAGAGATTATTGCCGTTCGACCCCTTCAACAAGAAGTCAGCGAATGAACCAAGTTTAACTGCAGTTTTGGTATCACCAAGAAAGAGTATCTCAAGTTCTGTAACATCTTTATTGTACCACCATGTGACAATTCCAACAGGAAGCGCAATCGCGTCACCCTTTCGAATGGCTACTACCTTCTCTTCTTGTCCAGGAAGTACAACACCAGCAATACCGCTACCTGAATACACACTAAACAATTAGAGAGGAAACCCCACGAGTAGTAACGGATATGCACACAGTTTATTCAAATTTTGCAAAGGTTAGAACACAAAAACATATGAAAGGAATGCATCATTCTGCAAAAAGTTAGAACACAAAACATATGAAAAGTAAATCCAGCATTAAGTGGTGGAGAGACCAAAAAATAGTAGCTATAAGATGGAGGTGGGAGAAGACATCCCTTGGGGCTGAACATAAAAAATCAGACAATTCAACTATCAAATAAGACCAAAATTTAAGTCAAACATCACTAAGACCATAAGGCTTAGTTGGTTTATAGCCAATAATCAACAACAATAACCTAGTATAATTTCACAAGTGGGGTCTGGGGAGGGTAGTATGCACGCAGATCGTACTCCTACCCTGGGCGTAGAGACAATAGAACAGTGTCAGTTTTATAATCAAACAAGCAAAATCCTTGGTAAAATTCCAGATTGAAGGAAACCACAAGAATCCCAAATCAAGAATACAGTCGTTTGGTCCACAAACTAGTTATGTGAGAATTACAACAAGGATAATTGTTTATGCAATGAGTAATAATGAAGAGATTGTTAAACGTGAATTACTTACTTTAAATTGGCAACTTGTGTCTTTAAATAATTTAATCCCTACATTGCTAATACATATATTCTTGTTCTGGCATTCTATAACTACATTCCCGCATCACATAATCTGAGTATTATTTAACACCGCCGACCAAATTATTTTTTCTTATACTGCCAACCAACAAAACAATGTATTATCTTATGTAGTAATTTTATGCTGATACTAATCTTCCCATGTGATTAACCAAACGATCCCTCAAAATCAAAACTGAACCAAGAAAGGGAGGACAAACCTATGTTGCTCGGACTCTCCAAAAATTTCTCTGAGTACGTGTTAGATTCTCCAAAACTAGTGTGTTTTTTGAAGGATCTGACACGGGTGCAGCATCATTTTAAAGAGTCCGCGCAACATTGGGACAAACAGCGGCCGTTCTACATGGAGGCTAATAGGTGCTCAAGCACCCATTGTGTTTTACCCAAACACACTATACTTTTATACGGGAAAACTACTAATACGAATATATATATTGACCAAGTATCCAATAAATTAAAGGCGGTTGAGTACCCATGACTTAAAAATTCCGAATCCATATATAGGTTTTTACCTTGAAGAACATAAGCAACCTNCCAGTGTAATCCACAGTAGGCGTCTGCGGAGGGTAGTATGTACACAGACCTTACCCACGAGAGGCTATTCTGGAAGACCTCGGCTTAGGAAAGAAAGTCATATATATATATATACACACACACATAAAAAAAAAAAAAAAGAATTACCAATATATGAAGTACAATTTTGCGATGAAGAGGATTCAATTGAGCCCCCTACACCATGCATAGCTCCGCTACTACAGTCTCCCATTACCTCAAGTTAATAGATAATGATAACTGGATCAAATAAACAACAAATTAACTTCCAGTCTCAAACAAGTTAGGATCGATTATATGAATTCTCACTGGCCATATTACTACATATGAACTCACCTCTTAACTCTCTACTAACATATACATAGAAATCTTTCAATGGCTAAACAATTTTCGTGGTATATTTAAATAAACTAAATTGTAAAACATCAACACATCCAATGCTAGCCATTCCATTTTATAACTGTAATCGGACTATTTTGATCGCGCCATTACGAGTAATCAGACAATATATATGTCAACATATCAAAATCATGAATTCTCAGTACAACGCCGTAGAATTAAGAAAATACTTCAAGTTGTATAATTTAGTTCAATTCAGTTCAACATTTTTCTGTTCCATCCAATTTCCCGATTCAATATATAAGAGAAAAATCAGAAAAAACCAAAAAAAGGAAGAATAAGAAAGATTACATGGCCAATTGCAAGGCAGTATTGTGAGATTGATTGGATGTGAATAGTAGTGGCAAACTGGCGGGTCGGGTCGGATATGGTTCGGGTCAGAACAGGTGATGAAAAAACGGATCAATTATGCGACCCGATCCATATTTAATACGGATAAAAAATGGGTTAACCGACTTATAATATGGGTAACCATATTATCCATGAATTCTTGCATATGATCACTTTTGGGAGAATTCTTAGTCTCCCTAACTTGAGGAACCCCCAATTTGAGGCTTTACAAATGTAAAAGTTAGACCCATTGGTTACTCATTGGTTATCCATTTTCTAAATGGATAATATGGTTCTTATTCATATTTGACCCATTTTTAAAAAGTTCATTATCCAACCCATTTTTTTTGGATAATATGGGTGGTTAACTGTTTTCTTTTAACCGTTTTGCCGCTCCTAAATGTGAATTGAAGAATAGCAGCCTTATAAAGGTGACGGTTTTATGCTCCAGGCCCACTTGCAAATAGAGTACAAGCCCAAGCTATGATAAAAATTTAATGTTTATCGTAATTAAAGATATTTTAGCAAACTTATTAGTTGTTGAACAATGTAATACAGTCAGTGGCAAAGTTATAAATTTTATCAAGGGTGTTTAAGTTTAAAAGGTGTTCAATACGTGAGATATAATATTGATGATTTTAGTGACATTTATAGAATTTTTAGACAAATTTGTCCTTTATGTTCAGGGATAAGTTCATTTTTATCCTTTAAATAGCACATATTATCCCTAAAGTTTGCCAAAGTTGAGCGAATTTGGTCTATCTACGGTATAAACAAAAGGAACAGAAAAATTAACGTCTTCCAATATAAAACATAACTGGAAATACCAATCTTGAACGTGATGCGAAGATTAAATTGCAGTTGTTCAGAGTTATACGTTGAGCTTGCGTAGTCGTACTTAACGGTTAAGTCAGTTAAGAAGGCACTTTAGCTGAAGTTTCAGCTAAGTGCAATTGAGTCATATGATAGTTTAAGTATAAGTTTGGGGGTATTTACACATTAGCCCTGTTAATTGTTAATTTTAGATATTTAGAGTCCAATAGAGTTAGTTATACTCTTTTGTCTTTTAGCTAATAGTGGAAGCATATATCCTCTGTATTCAAACGTTGCTATCATGAATAAAAAGAATTATCATTTTAATTTTCTTAGCCTTTCTTCTTAGCTGTAGATTTAGCTTCCAAACCCTAGCTGACGCATCAGGGTATCAGAGCAAATTCCCGGCTCTGTGGATAAATGTCGACGGAGATGAATGAGGTTATGAACATGCTGCAAAAGATGTCTGTTGATATGTCCAGCTTTGTATCTAGACAAAACCAGCTCGAAGCTAACCATGTGCAAAGCTGCAGAGGTCAAGAAGAAGCCTTGAATGAAATCAAAGAAGTGCTCAACGAGGTCATCCATGAAGGCAAGAGACCTGAGCGAGACAAAAATGTGAGTTGTACTGGGGAAGAGCTGTACTTTCCAAATGACAAGCCCTTTGATTTTGGTGAGTTAGCCACTCCTTCTACTACTGGAATTATTGTATAAATAGGGGTCAGTGGGAGTGTAGTATCAACTACTCTTCCTCCTATTAATGAACAAATACAGACCTCGATGCACCTGCAACAAGTTGGTCCTAGTCACCCTTCATTAGGCCCAATGTCTCACAGACCTACTGCCCAAGCCCCAACCAAACCATTCATCACTGATGAGAACTAACCAAATTTCTCCACAATCATATATTGGTCCACCTGATTTAAGTAGACCTGCCTACCCATATCAAAATCAGCATCAAGGAACTGTTAACAACAACCAAATACCTTCCAAACCTTCACACGTCACCCATATACACTATTTACCAGCTTATAGTTCCCCAAACACTCACATGCCTCCTTCCCTATACCATCAATTTTCCTATGTACCTCAGCCAACACCCCCACCCAATCAAAACACCCCTGCAGTTAATACTCAACAAACAGCCCATAACAACCATAATGTTCCTTTGCCTAGGATTCCATTCACCAAATACTCTAAGGTTGAATTTCCAAAATTTGATGGTGAATATCTGAGAACCTTATTGTATAAGGTAGACCAATTCTTTGTTGATGAAGAAGTCACTATACAACAGAGAATGAAATTGGTGTCCCTATATTTTGAAGGAGATGTGATAATAGGCTAGATTCATGTAATTTGGCGACTGTTTATGCCCCAAATTGACTATGCTTCACTGTTCTAGGATAGTTAAATGACGATAAATTGGCTCTAATTGTGAATTTCATGTTTTGCAGGAGCGAGTTGCGCTTATGAGAACTTAGGACAGTGTTTGGAGCTAAATTAAATCAAGGGAAGCCCCTCGGAGCTGAGTACGTGTGAAGAAGAGAGAAAAGAAGAGCTAAAATGATGACCCATTTTAGCGCGCCCTTAGTGCGACCGCGCTAGTCCAGAAACTCGAGATAGAATACTATGCTATATGCGCGGCCATTAGCGCGGGCACGAGCGCGGCCGCGCTAGTCCAGTTCGGAACAAATAATTTCAGGGGTAAACTTGGAAGTTCGGGGGTAATTTTACTTAACCTATAAGAGGTCTAGCTCGCCCAAAGGGACATTATCAAGGTTTTTACAATTGAGTTGAAGGCAAGAAGAGGCAAGAGGCAAGGAGGATAATTCGACATCGAGTTCTACCTTTCTTCCTTTTGTATTTATCATTTATGATGAATTTTGATGCTATGATGAACACGTTTATGAGTAGATAATTATTTAGTCTAGGGTTTTGATGAAACCTGTTGAAGGATGAACTTCGTGTTATGTTAATATAGCTAGGTTTAACCTCTATTTGTTCAACTACGTTCTTGTTGTAGTTAATTGATAGGATCCTCAATTAGCTGTGCCTATTAGTATGTATTACTCGGGAGAGAGTGGATATTTAGTTAATTGTTGAACAACACCACTCCCAAAGTATATGAGGAATCAATAACCGAGGGTTTAAAGGCGGGATTAGGGATAACGAAGCTTTGGGTGTGATCTAAAGTGAGCTGTAATAAAAGCCAGCTAGCGTAACTCGGGAGAGTGCGTCTAGTAAATTGTCGTAATTACTCGGGAGAGATTTACGGTAGTAAGAGTGCTCATGATCGATAGAGATGATTATGCAAATCTATATGAAACATAACAGGAAGGGATTCCATCAATAGGGGAAATCACAACCTTAGATCCTTCTCTTAATTGTTTACAACCCAATCATAGTTAGTTTTTAGTTTTCTTAATTTCGTTCAGTTATAGTTAGTAAAAGTATCACCAATTGTTATTCAAAATATTTGGGAAGTTGATTACGAAGAATTTAGTGAGTCTAACAAGAGTAATTGGTAGGTTAATTTCCTGTGGATTCGACTCTGGGCTAAATACTCAGATTATATTTGCAACGATCGATTGTCCTTTTTATAAGGCATAGTTGAGCGTGATCAAATTTTGGCGCCGTTGCCGGGGAATTAACGGTGTTATCAATTACAGTTGAAGGAAATATAAAAATTCTTAGTGTAGTCAGTTTTCTTTATTTTCAATCTATACATTGAAACTTTAACGTTTGTTGACTTGGTTGCACAGGTGCATGCCTAGAAACTCATCGAGAACTGGTGAAGTATTTGAAGCATTAGCAGATCTCTAGAAAGTATTCAAGGCCTTGAATCGGGCAAACCGGAAAAGCAAACAACAACAATCAACTGAACAACTCGAACCAGACATTTGGGATAACGTGGTAGATCCAGCTGCGCAAGTAGTGGCACCTCTTATGCCAGAGGCTCCTCTATATGACTGGGCGCAACCCACAGCTGAGAATTCGGACACAGCAATATTAGTCCCGCAGATACATACCGAATCTTTTCAAATCACAAACAACATGTTACACTTGTTGCAAAACAAGGGACTATTTTCGGGGTCATACATTGAAGATCCTCAACAGCACTTGAAGAATTTCCTGTCAATCTGCAAAACTCAAAGGCAACCCAATGTAACTCAGGAAGCAATAAAGCTGTTGTTGTTTCCATTCTCAGTGACAGGAGCTGCTCAGACTTGGCTAAACTCACTCCCCATTAACTCCATCACGACTTGGGAGGAATTAGTCAAGCAATTTGTGAATTAGTTTCATCCACCCAGCAAGACTGCTCAGCAAATTGATGAAATTTTGAGCTTCAAACAGAAACCAATGGAAACACTGCAAGAAACATGGGAACGATTCAAAGGAATGTTGGTTATATGTCCGCACCATGATATTCCAGAGCAGATGTTGGGGCAGCGATTTTACATGGGTCTGACAGATGGTGTGAAAGCTAATGTTGATGCTTCAGTTGGTGGAGCATTCTTGAGCAAAACATGGAGAGAAAAACAGGTCCCGCTTGACAAGATGGCACAGAATTCGGGGTGGACAACCAGGAATGCACCTATCACTCCAGTAGTTCACTTGGTGCCCTTAGATCCATCCAACACTCTTGCTGAAAATATGGCCACATTAGTGACA